ATCAGGGGCATCCCAGTAATTTCTTGTACCTTGTACTATATTCATCTATAAATAAAAGACTGGTCGACTGCCTAGTACAGTTCGACATTCTCTTCAGTTTTGTGGTTCTCTTCTCTTCTTTGCTACTTCGAGTATAGCTTTTCAGATTACATCCACATCTAAAGAAATATCCTGGAAGAGGTACCTTATTTTATAAACATTTACATGTAAGAGTTGAGGCCTATGTATATCCAAATTGGGTTGGGTTGGTTGATGATAGGAGGTCCACTACGGGTTATTGTACCTTTGTTGGGGGAAACTTGGTGACTTGAGTTTTCTACACCTAGTCCTATGTCCCTTTATTGTGACAAGGCAACTATTAACATAGCTCACGATCCATTATTACATGAGAGGGTGAAGCACAATGAAGTTGACAAACATTTCATCAAACAAAGCTTGAAAGAGAGGTTTGCACTCCTTACATAAGTTCAAGTGATCAATTGGGTGATGTGTTCACTAAGGGTATTACAAGTCTTCGACTTGATGATCTTTGAAACAAGTTGGGGATGAATGACATATATAAACCAACTAGAGGGGGAGTGTCATAAGGCTCTTTATAAGTACCCTATGGAATTTATGTCATTTCATGTTATTTTAGGCCACCTAAAATAAGTATCAAAGAGGTCACTGCCAGATCTGTCTTCAAAATTTCAAAACTTTGTCTCTTTCTTTTCACCTCTACTCTCTTCTTCTCCTTCTTGTCTAAACTAAATAATAGGAAGCATACTCAAAGTTGCCTTCTGAGGTGATTCCAATGTGGCTCTTGCATTTAAACCAGTATTCCATCCATTTGATACATACCTGTGAATGCTAATAATCACTTTATGATATTGAAAGGATGAGAGATCCATCGTATGGACGCCCGAAGATTTTGGAATTAGGGGGCAAATTTCAATAATTTTTCTCCCTTCAACTATGAATCGCATTCCCTATTTAGAAAATCATATTTAAAATGATCATTCTTGAACCATATACTGAACCAGATCTGAACCAAAAAGAGTAGGGGAGGATTATACCTGATACGGAGAAATAATATCCCCCAACGAAAGTGTTCACGCCCAAGGATAGATCCAAAAACTGCTCCCACTGAAAATGGCGCAGTGCAGGATGGAGCAGAATCAGCAGTGTTCTTCTCCAAGAACTCTGTCCTTCGCAGGAATCAGCAGGATGGCACGTGAGCACAGMTTCCWATCAATTCTTCCTCCAAGAATTGATGTCAAGATCCAATCTTGACTTCTTCCACAACTGGAGATTGAACTGGCAAATAGGGCGGCAAGAACAGGGAGGCGGCAAGAGAGTATTCGCAGGGTGCAGAATTCTCTCTTGTTGTGATTTCAGCACTAAAGGAAATCTGATTGGATGTCTTCTGAAAGCTGTCGCCCCCCCCTTCTTTTGTTAATCTAAAGGATCAGCTCCTAATCCCATTAGGAGCTGCTTATCCAAATCATATTTGGATCAACCTTATCTTCAGGTGATAAAGATAAATCCTTATCTTATCTGCAGATTAGATTAGCTTTCTCCTAATCTCATTAGGATGTTTCTAGATCTGAATCACCTTCAGATCTAGACTCTCTGAGTGGATAGGGTCTTGACCCTATCCTATCTGCTAATCCATCTTAGAATTCGCCCTTTTAATTAACTAAATAGATGGCCCAGTTCGAAATGGGCTTTAGGCCCATTAAGCTTATGTGCTCACTTAACCTTCCTAACTGTTGCCCAGTTGGGCTTCCTTGTATGGCGTGAGACCCAAGCATTAATCTACACATCAGCCACAAGGGTTCGGCCCAGCCTTTGTTATAAGGCTTGGCCGAATACACTGTTAAAGACAGTGCACCCCTTGAAACCCATCAAATGGGCTCTATGGGCCCAACACTTACCCTAAGTGGTCCCTGGGCCAAGCCACCTTGTAACACCCAGGGACTGTGGGCA